AATTTGATTGAAGAAAAAAGGTTGAGAGTTATTTGTCATGGCTAAATGTACCAGAAAATGATGATACGAGCTTATGACAAGAAGGTCAGGCCTTGAGAATTTCATAAAGGTGATTTAGTGTTGACAAAGATCCTCCATATGCAAAAAGACTTTTGAAGGAAGTGGATGCCAAACTGGGAAGGTCCTTATGTTGTAAAAAAGGCCTTTTTAGGAGGAGCTTTGGTTTTGACTGAAATGGATGGAGAAGATTTGCCTAATCCTGTGAATCCTGATTCAGTCAAGCGATATTACACTTGAAGAAGAAGAAGAAAAAGAAAAGAAGCAAAGAGAAAATAAACAAAGGAAAAGGGACAAGAAGCACATGTAAAGATTCCCTCGAGTCAAATGGTGCATCAAACTTCAAACAATGAAATTGATCAAGCACAATCATTCCAGAATCATTTCACTCGAAGATCATGGAGCATCTAGAGAGCATCAAGAGAGAGACACGTACGAGCAGATTCAAATTGAGCAAGACAGGATTGAAGGCATCAGAATGAATTGATCCTTGGTTTAATAACCCTGAAACACTTATTTAGGCCTTTTATCCCTTTCTTTCATAACCATGAACCATGACCTACATTACGTGCCTTAAAATTCCCTTCTAATCATACATAGATATCTAAAACATAAGATATTATCTTCAGATTTCATCCCACACATCAGGATTAATCTTTATTTGCAAAAGGTTTTCTAAAATCTTTAATGCATGATAGAAAAATAAAAAGGGGGTTCAAGACGTAAATTCTTAATGACGTTTTGAAACTAAAGGAGGATTTGAGTTGAAAACCTGAAAAGGTGGCTCGAATATAAAAATTCTGCAGCTGATACGATCGCACAAATTCCTTGATAAGGCTTCGCACAACCCGAGTGTGACCATGAGAACTGGGAGTCGGAGAACACTTCCAGTAGAGAAGCATACAAGCTACCCCAGCAAATCAGTGAGCATCAAAGAAACAAGAAGGCCAAACCATTGACAAAAAAAACAACCTGAGACATTTTTCCTTTCCTTACCTAACCATTTCCCAAAGATACTCTAGTTCTATGATTTGTCTCAATTGTAAAACCTAGAAAGAGGCAATATTTTCAAATCTTGAAAATAAAAGGAGAAGAAAAACACTTTTCAAATAAGACAATCTCTCTAGAGTAGATCTTGGTAAATGAAATATGGCTCTCAGACTTAAACACAAAGGCCATGCTTATAATCAGCGCTGAAGCAATAGATGAGGAACAATGAGGGCATCTTTGGAAATTCAATGTCGAATATTGGGGCATCTTTGGGGATTTAACATTCTGATACGAATGATCAGATCTTCTGAAGGCATTTCCTTTACAAGCAAGAACAAGAAGATTATCAGTATCCTTTGATGTTGTTTCTCTTGAAACAAAATGTTGTCTCGCTTGAGACAATTTTCTCTCAAAACAAATTTTGTCTCATTTGAGACATAAAAAAATCCTTTGATTTATTTCTCTAAATACAAAGTTTTGTCTCTCTTGAGACAATTTTTTTTGAAAAAAATATTTGAGTCTATTTCCTGTGAAACAAAGTCGTCTCACTTGAGACAGTTTTCCTCAAAACACCAAATTATGAGATTGTTTCACTCGAAATAAAAATCATCTTTGAGTCTGTTTCACTGGAAACAACAACCATATTTGAGATCGTTTCTCTTTAAACAAATCTTATTTTCCTTGAGACTGTTTCTCATGAAACAATAATCATCTTTGAAATTATTTCCCTTGAAACGAATTTTGTCTCTTTTGAGACAATTTCTTGAGAAATGCCCATCTTTGAGTCTGTTTCCCTTGAAACAAAACAAACATCTTTGAAATCGTTTCCCTTGAAACGAATTAAATCTTTGAGTCTGTTTTTCTTGAAACAAAACTATGTTTGAGTCGTTTCCTTTGAAACGAATTTTTTCTCTTTTGAGACAGATTCTCTTGAAGGATAATATGTGAGTTAGTTTCTCTTGAAACCATTATCCTTAAAGATAACCAGTCATCCCCATCAGAGTGGAACCGTGTTATCACCTTTAGATGACCTGAACTCTTCATCGCGGATGAGCCGTGTCATCACCCGACCTGATCTCTTCATCACGTAGGAGTCGTGTCAACTCAGATAACTAGCTTTCCTAATCATGTAGGAACCGTGTTATCACCATTAGATGGCCTGACATCCTCATCACATAGGAACTCTCGACCTGATCTCCTCATCACGTAGGAGCCGTGTCAATCCTTGATAACCAGAACTCTTCATCACGTATGAGCCGTGTTATCACCTTTATATGGCCAGAACTCTTTATCATGTATAAGCAGTGTCATCACCCGACTAGATTTCCTCATTATGTACGAGCTATGTCAACCTAGATAACCAATCGTCCTCATCACGTAAGAACCGAGTTATCACCTTTCATAAAGATGACAAAAAACTCTTCATCACGTATGAACAGTATTGTCTTCCAATCCAAACATATCAAATTAAAAAAAACAAGATCATCGGACAAAAAATTGATTGTCTTTTTTTCATCTTTTGTTCTATTCTTGTTAACACAAGAATGTGCAAAGAGGGGCAGCTGTAGACACCCGGTTTTGTCCAAGCTTTTAAAATAAATATTTATTAATTATATTTATTATTATTATTATTATTAAATGACACTATTACATTTTTTTGCAGGTCATTTAACCCAACAGAACTAGCCCAATCACAAGTGACCAGATTACAGCAAATAGTGCCCAACCCGAGACCCTGTTCAAGCTGTATCCGACCCAACCCGTAGAGAACTTGGAGCCCGTGTGACAACTCAACATGCTTAGGGTTTTTTAAAACCCTAAACTGGTACCAACCACCATCGATGCTTCAGCTTCTCTAGACCAGTGTGCGAGCTTTCAAGCCGAGACAGCCCAAGCCTTCACCGTCGTTATAAACCTGCAGCAACCAACAAATCACAGCCAAAGTCAACAAATCATCATAAATCCCACCAAACTCTTACCTAAACCCCGAGAAATCCGGATGATTTCATCTACCCCAAATCATCCACCAATCACGCACGAAAAGAAAATAAAGAGGAGAGACCAGTTTAAAGAGAAAAGGGGAGTTCATTAAAAAAGATGAAAAGAAAAGACTCCAAGGGGATTCGAAACAAAACAAAAAAAAAACCCATTGGGGATTCAAATCGAAAAAGAAAACAGATCAGAGTAAAAAATATAATCACCCAAAGACAAAAAGAGAGAAAGAAGGAAGAGATTTACCCTTAATCGATCCGACCACAGCTGCTTCATCGGTATGGTTGGACTCTATTTGAGGAGGTAAGGTTCTTACCTTTGGGGTTTGGGGTTTTCAAGTTTTGGTTATGGGGGAAGATGGTCTCGTTTTTTAGGTTGGTTTTAGGGTGAGGCTTTGTGGTATGTGAAATCCCCATGGCCACCGATCTGCGGTGGCCGGGGTTGCGTATTCTTCTTCGTCGATGAGAAGAGAAGAAAATGAGAAGAGGAAACGGGAAGAGGGACAGAGAAACGAGAGGAGATGTTGAAATGATTTTTGGATTTCCCAAATAACCCTTAAGTGGGTTATAAGCCACGCACAGAACGAATAATATAGACTAGGAGGTATCCGTGTTTTTTAAAAATGGGTAAATTTTAGTTTAAGTCCCCCATGTTTGTAATGTTCTGTTATTAATCATTAATGAAACTTTGAAAGGTTTGACTTAGGGCCTTATATTTATTTTGTATTATATTTTCGTCCTAGCTTTTATGTTAATTACGTGTATGTTGATATTTTACTTTGAGCACGTAATTTTAAAAGATTTCATGTTAGTCACCAATCTTATGTGTTATATAATCTTTGTTATTATTCGAATTTTACTTTGATATTTGTAAATCTATCATTTTGGTCACTATTTTACATTTGGTTTATTTATTATTCTGCCTTAATGTTTTTGCTTATTTCAGTTTAGTCCTAAATGCTATTTATGGGTTATTTTCATTTTGGTACCTGGCTTATTTAATATTTGCAATATGGGTTTTGTTTGTAATTACTTTTTAGTCCTTTGACTTTCTGTTTTTGCTATTTTAATTCTTTAATTTCATGTTTTTATTTGTTTAGCCTTTTAAGATTCTAATTTTACAAATTTAGTCCTTAAGTTTATGTTTTGTGCTATTTTAGCCCCTAAGTTCCTGTAATTAATATTTGTGTTCCTATAATTTCAAGTACTTACTTTTTACCCATTTGCATTTCGGTTTGTATTATTTATTTATTTTTATTTCAATCCTTTATGTATGTACATATTGTAAATGTTATTTTATGTTGTAAATATTTTATTTTTCATCACATGTGTTTATATTATATTTCCTTAAATATTAATGTTATTTGAAATTTCAAGAACAAGTATTTGTAGAACAGGCGTGGAAAATATCACTTGATCGAAGTGGTACAATCTGACACGATGTTCGAAGAAATAGGTCTTGAAATATATTTAGTTCATGTTACTAATTAATTTGATTTTAATTCAAATGATGCAATGCACGTTTATAAATGGCCATTTATGTTATGTTATGCAAATATTGATTTATTTCATATTCGATTCATTTTTTTAATTAATCAATTTATTTTTGTTTAATGGGAACATCAATTTTTTATTTTCGATTCTCGATTATCGAAGAAGGAATGTTCTTTACGGATAAGAAATAGTCGAAATAGCTTTCTCAACGGAGGATTGCAAATCTCGAGATTTCTTTTCGAGTTAAAGAATTTTCTCTAATTAATTAATTTCAAGCAAATTAATTATATTTCAATAAATGTATCATAATTTAAATTTATATTCGATTCATTATTTCCACCATTTCGACAACGTGTAAGCGACACAGTACCAATTTTGGGCGTTGTGGGGTGCTAATCCTTCATCACGCGTAACCGACTCTCGAACCCGTTTTAATCAAATATTTGGTACACGCAAACCAACTAGGAAATGGATAAACCGAAGGTTTTGATTGTAACGAATGATGGTATTTGTCCTGCAGAAGTAGGTAACTTTCCACTTCTGTATTCTTTATCCAATCTAAAGAGAATCAGATTAGAGAAGGTTTCGGTTCCGTCTCTCGATACGAACTCTTTACGCCTAAAGAATCTGCAAAAAATATCCGTAGTCATGTGTAATATAAATCAGGCTTTCAAAAAGGGTACACACAAGATGTCAGATGTTTTTCCGAATCTTTCGGAAATCGACATCGACTACTGTGATGATCTGGTGGAACTTGGTGAAGGGTTGTGTGATCTTGTTCAACTGGTGAAGCTTAGCATCACCAATTGCCACAAGCTCGTTACACTGCCTGAGGGCATTGGAAAACTGGAAAACTTGGATGTGCTAAGACTAACTTCCTGTACTGAACTCAAGACATTGCCGGAGAACATTGGGAGCTTATCCAAGCTTACTATTCTCGACATTTCCGAATGTCTAAGCATCGTAGACATTCCGGCCCAGATCGGTGAACTGCACAGTCTAAAGAAGCTCTATATGAGAGGTTGCTCCGGTTGTAACCTGCCTGCAACAATCACAAAGCTGTTACGTTTGGAGTATGTTATATGTGATGAGGAGACAGCCTATCAGTGGGAGTCTTCCGAATCTTCTCTCACTAATTTAAGGGTAAGAGTTGATAAAGAAGATATCAACTTAAAATGGCTTCACACATTTTCATAGTCTCATATTCTTTTCATATTTCTTGTTATCGTGTGTACCCCAAATAAAATACAAGAAAACTTCTATAACTTGGCTAGAATGTGAGCAATGATCAAATTTAAAGTGAAATACTAAAAGAAATTCACTGTGGCATTATTAAAATCAAGTGCACATTCAGAATCAAATCATCCATGAACTCATCATCAAGTTCAGTCTACCATTAAATGGTTTAACCCCTCGATTCCAACGGCTGGAATGGTGGCCTCAGCATTTTATTTTTCAAAGTCCTTCAATTTTACCTATATAACATATTCTGAATGCTGTAAATTTAATTATAAATTTAAAGGTATTTAATTATAATAAAATAGCACTTGGATGAACAAGGGGTAAACTACCCGAATAATCACTAAGGTTTGAGTAAGTTTTCATTTTTTCCACTGAACTTTCAAACATTACAAATTGGTCACTAAGATTATCGATTTGTAACAAAAATTGTCGCTCCACGTTAACCATTGTTAACCTCAGTAACGAAAAGCTGAGTTCGACCATTAAATGTTAAATTGGACCGTTGACTGCCCACCTAGAGAATCGTTAGAGTCCTTGTTTGATGATTCGGTCACTTCAGTAACTTTATGTTGATGAAGAAGCATCTTCGACACCGACAGAGTTAGTGACTGGGCAAAAGATCGTGATAGTGGAGAGAAACCATCGGAAAAATTCAAACCAGAGGAGACGAAAGTAGAAGAAAAGAAAGCAGAAAAGGAAAGCCAAAGGAAGATGCACCCAAAGCTGGAGAGAAATCAAACCCACCCCCAGCGGAGACTAGAAAATCTGAGGGTATAACTACCGCTGCCACTCAATAGTCGTCACCTCCGATGACAACTCCTCTACTATAAGAAGTGGAGAACCCTCCATTATCACATAAAGAAGAGCAAAAATCAATGAAGGTAGTAGCAAAAACCAAAATTGAAATGAGTGAAAGCACTCAACTTGTCATTAATGAGTTAGAACTTCAACCGCTATCTGGTGACCATACATGCACCCCATTTGTTCTCATAGACCGTATCCCATTTGTATACGTCCAAATTGTTAAAGCAAAACAAACCAACAAAGAACCCTATTGGTTGAAGTAAAAGGTTGTAATTTTTTCATTAGTGCAAGTCTCTCCATACTATTTTTATTTATGTTTCTCACCCTAAAACCTAAAGTTTAAGTTGTTTGCAAAGATATGTAAAAGAATTCGATCTAAAGTCACTCACTCCACGTTGGATAAATCACTCATTTTTATCCCTCATTCGGAGCTGGTCATGTCTTTTATTTTTATCGGAATAGATACCATGTCCCATGTGTTGGGAAATAAACGAGAACAAGTAATTTCCCTATAACCAGATTAGTGAGAATGCGAAATAAAAGCGGAAAAATAATACCCAAAATTGATAATGGAGTTCAACCAATTTTCTTACGTCTCCGGACTGCTGCAGATCTTTTACTAAGAGAGAAAATTTACAGGTGTTTACAAAACACTCACTACTCACAAGAAAGCTCTCTAGTATTGTGAGAAAGAAATGATTTTTGGGATGATTTTGAAGCTAAATGGGCTAGGGTATTTATAGTTGAAGCTTAAGGACTAATTTTGTAAATACCCTAAAATGTGTAGGGACTAAAAATGTAATTGACCCTATTATAATTTTAATTAAAAATTATTGGTGCCCCCTTTGTTGAAAAAACAAAGTTGGTGCGGTGCCTACCTTATTTAGCCGCAATTATTGGCTTACAATCTCCCACTTGAAGACTGATTTTAATCTTTCTTCACAGCTCGATCAATGCAGCAACATTTCTAGTCTTGTTATTATAGTATGCCAACTGAAGCTGAACACAACTTCAGTTTGTCCGTTGTCACCTTCTTTGTTAACATGTCTGCCGGATTTTGAGCTCCACTAATCTTTTCAAGTTTCAAAATCCCATCTTCTAGAAGAGACCGGATAAAATGATATCGCAATTGTATGTGTTTCGTCTTAGAATGAAAAGACGGATTCTTTGCTAGATGGATAACACTTTCACTGTCGCAATACAAGATATTGTTTTCTTGTTTCTTGCCTAACTCTTCCAAGAAACTTTGGAGCTAAACCATCTCCTTGCTGGCTTCCGTAACAGTGACATATTCTGCTTCAGTTGTGAAGAGAGCAACTATCTTCTGTAGTTGAGAAATCCAACTCACTACAGTTCCTCCTAGAGTATAGGCATACCCTATAGTGCTTCTTCTGATTTCGACATTTCTGGCTAAGTCAGCATCTACATAGCCTATCAGTATCGTATCTCCACCTTTGAAACAAAGTGCTTTATTTATGGTACCCCGCAGATATCTGAGGATCCATTTGACTGCTTCCCAGTGTACCTTGCCTGGATTATTCATGTACGTGCTAACAGCTCCCACTGCATGAGCAATATCTGGTCTAGTACAAACCATGACATACATCAGACTTCCAATTGCTGAGGCATACGACACCTTCAGCATGTGTGCACGTTCTTCCCCCGTCTTTGGTGACTGTTCTTTGGAGAGTCTAAAATGAACACCTAAAGGTGTACTTACTGGTTTAGCATCTTGCATGTTGAACCTGGAGAGTACTTTGTTGATGTACTCAGCCTGTGATAACATCAAAGTCCCCGACTTTATGTCTATCTTGATCCTCATCCCAAGAATCTGCTTTGCAGCGCCCAGATCTTTCACTACAAACTGCTTCGACAATTTTTGTTTCAAGTTTATAATCTCTTGCATGTCTGAGCCTACAACGAGCATGTCATCAACGTGCAATAATAAAATAATGAAGTTGTTGTCGAACCTCTTGATGTAGCAACAATGATCTGCTTGGCATCTGGTAATACCATTGCTACCCATGAAGCTATCGAACTTCTTGTACCATTGTCTAGGAGCTTATTTTAAACCATACAAGCTGTTCCTCAACCTGCACCAGGTTTTTCTTGCCTACCTCTATGAAGTCTTCTGGCTGCCTCATATAGATTTCTTCCTCCAAATCACCATGAAGGAAAGTTATCTTTACATCTAACTGCTCAAGATGTAAATTCTCTGCAGCTACAATTTTCAACACCAGTCTGATTGTAGACAATTTTACGACTGGAGAGAAAATTTCATTGTAGCCAATACCTTCTTTTTGCTGAAAGCCTTTGACAACCAATCTTGCTTTGTAGCGTTTCCTCCCATCGTGCTCTTCTTTGATCATGTAAATCAACTTGTTATGGAGCGCTTTCTTGCCTGGTGGTAATTCAGCTAATTCCCACGTCTTATTTGACATAAGCGAGTCCATCTCATCTTTCATGGAAGACTCCCACTTGACTGAATCCTTCGCCTGCATTGCTTCATCATAGCACTCTGGTTCTCCATTGTCAGTCAGCAACAAGTAGTGTAAAGAAGACGAATAACACTAGGTTGGTTTAGGAATTTTGGAGTAGCCTCTTAGTTCCGGTGTGTCTGGTTCTTCTTGAACTGCTTCAAGACTGATTTGAACATCATTTCCAGAAATCTCCTCGAACTCAGCAAATTCCTTTGTTTCATCTTCGGTATTAGAGCTACTTGATTCTATGGTTGACCTTTCTTTGTACATCACATTCTCATTGAAAATGACATCTCTTCTTCTGATGATCTTTCGATTTCGTAGTCCCAAAACCGGTAACCAAACTCATCACCACCATAACCAACAAAGACACATTTGTTGGACTTGGCATCAAGTTTACTTCTTTCAGCAGAATTTATGTGCACATAAGAAATACAACCAAACACTCTTAAGTGTGAAAGGTTTATTTCTTTTTTGCTCCAAGCTTCCTCTGGTATTTCACCATCCAAGGGAACTGAGGGCCCACGGTTGATCAGGTAAGCTGCAGTGTTGATAGCTTCAGCCCATAGAAATTTGGGCAATACGGCATGTATCCTCATGCTTCTGGCACGTTCATTTAAAGTTCTGTTCATGCGCTCTGCTACGCCATTCAGATGCGGTGTCATGGGAACTGTTTTCTCCATCTTGATCCCATTGTTTGCGCAGAAATCTCTAAATCTCCTATTTCTATACTCTCCTCCATTGTCAGACCTCAACCGATTGACTTTCAAACCAGTCTCATTTTCCACCATGGCCTTCCATTTTCTGAATGTATCAAAGACTTCTGATTTAATCTTCAGAAAATAAACCCACACATTCCTTGTAGAATCATCGATGAAGGTGACATAATATAGTGAGTCTGCAAGAGATGGAACTGGAGATGGTCCCTATACATCAGTATGAACCAACTCTAACTTTTCTGCCTTGGGTTTCTTGCCAATCTTTGCAAAACTGACTTTCTTTTGTTTGCCAAAGATACAATCCTCACATACTCCGCCATCTACATTTTTTAGATCCGGCAGTTTCTCTTTTGACAAAAGTGTCCCCATTCCTTTCTCGCTCATATGGCCAAGTCTTTGGTGCCATATGTTTGATTTTCCATCATCATCTGCTACTGCAATGATATTCTCTAAATTTGAGGTTACATAGAGAGTACCAGTCTTCTTACCATGACCAATGACGAGTGCTCCTTTGGTAATCTTTCATTCACAGCCTGAAAAGGTTGTGTTATATCCTTCTCCATCAAGCTGTCCTATAGAAATCAAATTTCTTTTGAGGCCAGGAATATGTCTCACTCATTTCAGCGTCCATGTGGTCTGGTTTGGAAACTTTAATCGGATGTCTCATTTTCCGACGATCTTCAAGGTTTCATCATCAGCTAGATGAACCTTCGCAAAATCACCACTGTCATAGTTCTCCATGATTTATTGGCATGTGATGGAGTGGAAATATGCCCTGAATCTAAATCCATGATTCAATCATAATGTTGACGCTTAGAATCATGGCATCACCTATCTCCTCTGTCATGTTGGCAGATTCCTTTGAGCCGGTATCTTTCTTCGGTGTTCGACAATCTCTTTTAAAGTGACCCTTATTGCCGCAATTATAACAGGTATAATCTTTCTTTCCCGT